GAGGAGGTCAACGGGGGGAGCTAAGACATGGAACGACGATGAATAGGAAAGCATGCCTGCGCACAAGCGTGCAAGTGCATCGGACGAGGGCGGTGTCAGCAGGCGCCGGTCGCCCGTGCAGACCCTCAAATCCCTATGCTACCACAAGCGATGATTGAGTGTTTTGCCAGGGAAGCGTCTGGAACAAGGCGCATGGCGCGAAGCGCCAATGCAGCCTTGTACATATATATACATATAAATATATGATAAATATGTATATATGTATATGTATGTATATATATATATATATGTATACAGACATGGATATATATATATATATATATATATATATATATATATATATATATATATGCTACGCAAAACAATCGCACGCGCGCGATCTTGCGGTTTTCTTCAAGGGAAAACCATGATTTGTCAGCGTGCCCAGACAATTCTGCCAAACGGCCTTCGCGCGCGCGCGTCGAAATCTTTCGAGCGCCCCTGCGCGCGCGCGCCGTCGCGAGAATCCTTTGCGCAAGCGAAACGAAGTGCGCGCGCGCGTGCCGAAATCCTGCAAAAACCATCGGTTTCATAACATAGTTCAAAACAGAATGTCCGACATACATTTCAAAAACACATGGTTCCGCCGCATCAGCTGTCCAAATAAACTTGCGCGCGTGCGAATTTTTAAGACAACCATATGATCGTTAACATTTCAATTGGATTCTGCCCAGCGGGCCTCTGGCGCCGCATGCCAGCATCACCCGGGCGCCCCCGCGCGCGCGCTGGGGCGGGGGGGGCGCGATCCGCGTTAAATAAAATCAGGCAGGCCACTCTCGCGCGTCGGCCGCGCGCGCATGCCGCACTTTCCAAAACCTTCATCGCCGACGCGAGGGCGCCGTCATCGTCGTCGGCGCGATTGGCAACGGCGCCCGCGCTGGCCGCGCCTTCGTCGGTACGAGCATCGTCGCCAGCATCGCTGCGGTAATCGTCGCGTCTACCGTCGTCGGCGTTGCCATGATACCACGCCCGCCCAAGTCGCCGACTCGCAGAGACGCGCCCGCTGCGATGCGCCCAGCGTTCAGCGCAACCGCGGCCGCGTCGGCCGCGCCAAACTAGCTGGCTGCTGCGCGCGCGTGGAAGGGTTGGCGCGGCCGCGGATATGCCCCAGCCAACGCCAGGCGCGCATCGCCATCGCCACCGCGTGGGCCTTGCAAACCAAGTTGCGGGTGGGTGGGTGGGATCTCTGCAAGGGCATGGGATGCGTCAGCCCGTATGTTAAAATCAATTCTCCTTCCTAAAAAGAACATGACCCCCCCCCCCATCGGGGTTAAAGGCCCCCCGGGAACCGATGCAAAACGCGTGGGATTCACCCGCTGTCCATCCTACCGGCGAACTCATACTACTCCAGCCAGGCCGGCATCGCCCCCCCCCCCCCGCCATCCTCTGCAACATGCATCAGAAACCTATGCGCGCGCACTCGTCCATCAAGAACCATAAGTGTGTTCAAGAGTGCCTCCCAGAAAACGGGACGAAGTGCGCGCGCGCGTCGTCGCGCGCGCGCCCGAATCCTTCAAAAACCTCAGGTTTCGGAAGGACTTCAAAATCGAAACAAAAAGAAAAACCTAAAAATAACAAGGTATCGCAACGCGGATTTACAAAACCCATGATTAAATTAAGCAATGCGAATTCTCTTGAAAACCATGGGTTTGCAATATGTTCAGAAGATGCGACCAAACGGGGTTCGCGCGCGCACGTCGCAATCGTTCGAACGCCCTCAGCGCGCGCCGTCGCGAGAAAGCAAAAAAGAAAAAACGCACGCGCTCGCGTCTTCGCGCGAACATGCCGAGATCCTTCAGAAACCTTTGGATTCGGAAGGATGTCAAAATCGAATGCAAAATGCATACATCAACAAATGGTTTCACAACGCTGATGTGCATCAAAAGCGCGCGCTCTTGCAAATTCAAAAGAGAGCCATGGGTTCTTAAACCTTCTATAACGTGCTACCAAACGGGCTTCGCGCGCGTGTCGAAATCGTTCGCGCGCCCTTGCGCGGGCGCCGGGGCGGCGCGATCCGCGTCGAGTAATTCCATGCGAGCCGCGCGCGTCTGCCGCGCGCGCATGTCGAATTCCTTGCAAAACCTCCATCGCCAACGCGAAGACGCTGTCATCGTCGTCGCCGTGATCGGCATCGGCGCCGTCACTGGCCGCGCCGTCGTCGCTGTCAGCATCGTCGCCAACATCGCTACTATCATCGTCATTTTCGCGTCTAAAATTGCCGACGTTGCCGCGATACCGCGCCCGCCAAAGTCGCTGACTCGCACTCATGTGCCCGCCTGGATGCGCCGAGCAGCAAGCGCCACCGCGGCCGCGTCGGTCGCGCCAAACTACCCGGCCGCCGTGCGCGCGCGCGGGCTGGGCGACCGCAGAGGTGCGCCAGCCAGCGCCAAGTCATCGCAATCGCAGACGCGCGAGGTTTGCAAACCACGTGGCGGGCGGGTGGGTGGGATCTTTGCAAGAGCAGTGGAGTGGGCAACTCGCTGCGAACAGAACTTGATTGCGCCGCGTGGATCGCACTACAAAAAACACCGAATACATGGCACAACATAGAATCCTCTGTCCACAAAGAACAGAGACTCTCCCCTTCCCCGGCTTTGTCGGCACACCTTTTTGCGTCGCAAGTCACATGTGGTTCTGCCCCATCGTTCATCCGAAATACGAATTCATGCCATCTTAGCCCAGCCTTGTTCGATCCCCCCCCCCGCCATCCTTTGCTAGAAGCACGCAGTGCGCGCGCACTTGTGCATCGGAAGTCACGAGATTTCACGCGCGTCGTCGCGCGCGCATGCCGAGATCCTTCAACAACCTTCGGTTTCGAAAGGGTTTCAAAACTGGGTGTCAAACAAAATGCAGCATGGCGTCGGAACACTTGTTTTGTATAACTTGTTATTCTCTTGTTCTTCTTTTTAATAGCAAAAAGAGAAAAAGCGCGCGCACTGTGCTCATTCTAACGCCAAAACGAATCTGTTGTTTGTAAAAACGTCCAAAACAAGTGCCACCAAACGGGCTTAGCGCGCGCTTGTCAAAATCGCTCGAACGCCCTTGCGCGCGACCGTCGCGAGAATCCGTTGCACAAACACGAAACGAAGTGCACGCGCGCGCGTTGTCGCGCGCGCGTGCCGAAATCATTCGAAAACCTTTGGACCCCGTAGCGACCCCATAACCGAATTGCCAAACCACATTCAAAATCACATGGTATCGCAACATCAGTGGTCCATAAAAACTTTCGCGCGCGCTCTTGCGAATTCTAAAGAAAACCGTCGCTTCTTCAAACTTTTCATCACATGCTACAGAACGGGCTTCGCGCGGGCGCGTGCCGACATCACTCGCGCGCCCTCGCGCGCGTGCTGGGGGGCACGATCCGTGTCAAATAATACCGCGCGGGCCACTCTCGCGCGCCAGCCGCGCGAGCATGTCGAGCTCTTCCCAAGATCTTCATCACCGACGGGAGGGCGCCGTCACCGTCGTCGGCGTGATCAGCATCGGCGCCCGCAATGGCCGCGCCTTCGTCGGTGCGAACATCGTCACCAGCATCGCCACTATCATCATCGTGACTACCGTAGCATCGCCACTATCATCATCGTGACTACCATCATCATGATACCACGCCCGCCCAAGTCGCCGACTCGCAGTGACGTGCCCGCTAGGAAGCGCCCAGCGGTCAGCGCCAAAGCGGCCGCGTCGGTGGCGCTAAACTAGCTGGCCACTGCGCGCGCGTGCTGGGGTCGGCGCGGTTGCAGAGACGCACCAGCCAACGCCAAGCATGCATCGCAATCGCCACCGCATTGGGTTTGCAAACCACACTGCGGGTGGGTGGGTGGGACGTGTCAACTCGCTCGTGAAAAGCAATTGCACCACATAGCTCCACATAGATCGCACTACAAAGATCCCGCCACAGATATTACACAGCATATATATATATATATATATATATATATATATATATATATATATTGCTCGCACGTACTAAACCAGCTATACTGCGCCACGTAGCTTGCACCACAAAGGAAAAAACAACTGTTTTGGGTCCACACATGTTATTTATGTGTTGGTCCGACATCGCTACGACAACGCTCAATTTCGGCTACTTTCCTGGCCACAGAAACCAATGGACAATCAGCGCCGAGATCTCACCGGAGATCTGGGCTCGCCTCCCAGTGCCGGGAGCCGCTGGGGAGCCACGGAGCGCGCAGGCCGCCGAGGGTTCCTCTGCGACAGCCGCAGAGGCGGCCAGCCGCAACGACCCCGCCCAGTGAGAGTGGCGCCGAAGTGGCGCCCGCCTCCTGTTCCAGGGGCGGGCGCCAGGCTCGGACTCCATCCTTCGCCAGAGCCGCCCCCCTATGTTCCTTGCCCGCTTTCTCCGAGGCCCCCCCCTTTGTCCCAGACTCTGGGCGTCTCGAAAAAAGCGACACAGCGGTGTTCCATCGTTTTCGGCCTCTCGGGCCCTCCTACACGAGGCCTCGGGACCGTCAACGAGACGACCTGAGCTTCAACAAAAAACGGGCCCCCAGGAGGTAGTCGAGAGGCCGGCGGCCCGTGCCTCGAGCAAACCGCGACGCCGGACGTCTGGGTCCGTGGCTCCGCCTTCTTTCCCCGACCAGCCTCGACCGACAATCTCAGGGATGCGCCCTGAGAAACTGAGGGCATCCTTCAGGTCTCGGTATCGAGATCAAGTGACGCCAATCATCGAGATAGGGCTCTGCGTCGCCGCGCCGCTTGCTCTCTCGACGAACCCAAATGGACAAAGCCGACACCACGGCAAACCCACGGCAAGCCCTGCGTCCCGCGCCGAAACAGACGCAGGCGGCAGCGCGGCCAACCCCGTGGCAGACCCATCGCGTCCGAGGCGGCGTCTGCCCTGGAGGCCGCGGCGCCCTCCCCGAGGCGGGAGGCCGCGCGTCGGAGCAGACGGCGCGGCGAGTCTGTTCCGGGCTCGCCGCTCCCGCCCCCCCCTGGTCGACCTCGGAGCCGCCGCGCGCCTCCCCCGCCGGCAGCGGCGGCCCGCTGCCCCCCGGGCCGCCCGCCTCGGCGGGCGAGCGGGCGCGCCCAGCGCGGGCACCGAGCCGGCACTCCTCACGAGTGGTGAGCGTATGAGACGACGCCAGGACGAGGATAAAGTGGAGTGAGGATAAATCCAGAATCAGTGAGGTCTGGCGGCTCTGGAGGACCTCTCGGGCGCCGCGGCCTTCTCAGGGCGTCCCAGAACGCTCTGAGAGCGTTCCGGACGGCCCTGGAACGGATTTATCCTCGTCCTAGCTCCGTCCAAACGTATCCTCGTCTGCGCCCTCGCGGCCTGGATTCTGGGGAGCCCGCGGACACGCGGCCTCACGGGCACGCTCCGCGCGGAGCATGCGCGAACAAAACGCCCAGCGTGTCCGCGGGATCGCAGCAATGGGGCCTGGCTCGCGAGGCCGTGGATACGGATATGATTTGCGCCCACGAACTCCAGCTCCGCCTGCATCGCGGAGTGCCGCTCCCACAGCACATCCGCCAGCACCTCTTCGGGTATGCCCTGTACCCAGGTCCCTGGATCTGACAAGGTTTCCGGTCGCGAAGGGTAGCGACCCATGGCACTCCACATAGGTCGCGACCAATATCGACGGATTCTAAAATCGGTCGCGACCAATCGCGACCCATCGGTCGCGACCGATTTTGAAGCAAACTGGTCGCGACAGATACAGGAATCTTGGGCAAATTCGGTAGCGATCGACCTCGTCGGTCGCGACCAGAGAAATTCTGGCCTCCAATGGTCAGGGCGTGGGCCAGGGCCGAAACGTGTTGGAAAAATCGAGACGGAGTTGTTTCGTAGTTTTCAGCCTCTTGGGGCCCTCGCCTGGCCCCAAGACCCTCAAAGAGCCATCCAGGATGAAAAACTGGTCCCTGGGACAGGGTCGGGACTTTCAGAAACCCAGCAGCACGGGGTCCGTTCTGGGAATTGGCGGGGTCGCCACCACCTCCTCCCATGGGGCGAAGGGGGAGGCCCCTCCCCCCCGCCCCGAAGCGCCCCGACCGCCCAAGCAGAACGCCTCCAAAGGCCTCTCTGAGCCTCGATGCCTCCATCCTTTCCGGTCCTCGATGCTCCCGAAGAAGGCGGCGATGCCCATGGCGGCAGCCCCCCTTGGCCCAGGGCGCCCGGATTCTGCTCAAGACACGGGCCCCCGGTCGACCTCCCGAACACTTGGCCCGCGGGGTAAGTTTTTTTGTGTACATACCCGCAGCGGGGCAGGATCCCCGCGAGAGGCCGACGACACGGCGGAGATCACCTCTGCCTCGATCCTTCCGCGACGCCTGGCGCCTTCCGCTCCGCCGCCAGCGCCTCGCGGAGCCAGGCTGCTAAGTCCTCGCTGCTCTGCGCGCGGACGGGGCCCAGGCCCGTCGGCCGAAGCGGCGGCAGCGGCGCGAGCGCAGCGCCCTTGCCCGCGTCGAGGCTCGTCATCGGTCCGCGGGGCCTCCCGCCGATGGGCCCCCCCTGGGGGGCGCGGCCCGCAGCAGCCGGAGGCGGCTGCGGCAGGGGTCGGCGGCGGCGGGCGCGAGCCGCGTCGAGGAGCCAAAGAAGGACATGAGCGCAGGTTTCCAAGAAGTCCGCGCGGACTTCTCGGATCGGCGCTGAAGCCCCCTGGCGGCGCCTCCTCCGGCGACGCCCCTTGGCGCCCTCCGCTCCTCCTCCCGCTCCTCCTCCCGCTCGTCCTCCTCCTCCTCCTCCTCCTCCTCCTCCTCCCGCTCCTCCTCCTCCTCCTCCTCCTCCTCCTCCTCCTCCTCCTCCTCCTCCTCCTCCTCCTCCTCCTCCTCCTCCTCCTCCGCCTCCTCCTCCTCCTCCTCCTCCTCCTCCTCCTCCTCCTCCTCCTCTCCTCCTCCTCCTCCTCCTCCTCCTCCTCCCTCCTCCTCCTCCCTCCTCCTCCTCCTCCCTCCTCCTCCTCCTCCTCCTCCTCCTCCTCCTCCTCCTCCTCCTCCTCCTCCTCCACTCTTCTCCTCCTCCGCCCTCCTCCTCCTCCTCCTTCTCCTCCTCTTCCTCCTCCTCTTCCTCCTCCTCCTCCTTCTCCTCCTCCTCCTCTTCCTCCGCCCTCCTCCTCCTCCTCCTCCTCCTCCTCCTCCTCGTCCCGCCCCCGGCGCGCTCCGCGCGCTGTCCAGCGCCGATCCGAGAAATCAGCGCGGCTCCCATGAGGCTTGAGTTTATGTATCGTGTTGTGCCTCGGCATCGGCTTCGACGGCTCCCTGGGCCGCGACCCGCGGCTACCAGGGGCGGCTGCGGCAGGGGTCGGCGGCGGCAGGCGCGGGAGAGGCGGAGGACCCTGATCTTTGGATGCATGCCCAGATTTTCCCGTCGCGATCGCCGAGATCGGTCGCTGCGTGCTTTGCTTCAAAATCCTATAGCGGTCGCGACCGATTTGGAACAAAGATCGGTCGCTACCGATCGCGACCGAAAGCATCCGATGGTCTGGGGAGCTCGGGGGGCTGAAACGAATATCAATGGCGCGCCGCCGTGGGAAAATCATCGGCGCGTTACTACTGAATAAACACCAGGTCGTCGGGCGAAGACGAATAACACGCCGGCGGGGATCCCGCCGGCGGCGTGTCATTGATACTCTTTTGTCCCTCCCGAGGAGCAGGAGGAGCAGCAGCAGGCGCATGCGAAGGAGGGGGCGGGGAAGGCGAAACGCGCCCTGGGCACGTGCGTGGCCCACCTCTGCGCACCCTGAGCAGACGGGGACGGGGAGGCTCCTGCAGAATTTGTTCGCATTCGTCCGTCGACTGAAACGTAGCGCATAATCGTTGTGAGGGCTCTTGGGAATGCGTTGGTCGCATCGGATCATGGCCGGAGCCACGAGCGCCCTTGCCGACCAGCCTACGCGTCCCTCAGGATACATGGCCACAGGGCTTGCTTGCTTGATGTCGTTCCCTTTGTCATCCTCTCCTTTTCCTCTTTCTCCTCCTTCCCCGACTCCACCATCCCCGCGCGAGCCCACAGCAAACTCCAAAATCCGAACGAGCCGGCGCGTAACTGACCCAGCTGGGTCAGATAAGTCGCACGTGCTTCATGATCCAGGCTGAACGAGGGGAAAAACAATAAAGAGGCACGAGTAAGGAGAGAGCAGAAAAAAACTTGCTGCCCCCCACCTGCCCACCCCCTCCGGCGCCTCCATCCCCCCTTTCTCTTTTTGTCCCCCCTCCCCCCGCCCTCCCCAATCCTGTAACATCCCCCTCATCATCCCCCTTTCTCTCTCCAGACCCTCGACATCACGCTTTTCCCCTCCTCTCCCAGACGTCATCATGTGGTGTTGATTTTCGTTTTGAACAGACAGCGCCCCGCGTCTTTGTCTTCTCCTCTTCCCCCCACCCCCCTCCTCCCATCCCTGCTTCTGTCCTGCGCGCCGGTGACATGGCGGCAATCCCTTCGCGAGTTTCGTAGCCTCGGGAAGCACCCCATCGAAGGCCCAATGGCAGGGTCCACATGCGATTCCCCCCCCACCGCGTGCCCATTTTGGCACGCCCCGCACATGCTTCGTGGCCGCATAGGGAACTCCACCGAAGGCTCCATGTAGCAGGATCCACATGCGCGTCCCTGACCAACGCATGTCCACGTCGGTACACCTCTCACGTGTTTCGTGGCCCCAGGAGGAACCCCACCGAAGATCCCATAGGCAGAATCCACGTGCGGTTCCCCGACCACCGCGTGCCATGTCGATACAGTCCTCACACGCTTCGTGGCCCCATTGGGAAACCGACCGAAGGCCCCAGAGGCCAGGCACACAGGCGGCCCCCCGTCTACCGCATGTCCATGTCGGCACACCCCTCAATCACTTCCTGGCCCCACAGGAGGCCCCACCGAAAGCCCCAACAACAAGGTCCACATGCGGATCCCCGCCCACAACGAGTCCATGTCGGCAAACCCCTCGCACGCGCCGTGGCCCCATAGGGCGCTCCACCGAAGGCCACACATGCGGTTCCCCGCCCACCGAGTGTCCATGTCGGCACACCCCTCGCACGCCTCGTGGCCCCATAAGGAGCCCCACCGAAGGCCGAATTGCCGCATTGGCAGGGTTCGCGCGCGGTTCCCCGCCCACCGTATGTCCATGTCGGCACACGCCTCACATGTTTCGTGGCCCCATAGGGCGCTCCACCGAAGGCTCCCATCTCAGGGTTCGCACGCGGCTCCCTGACCATGTGGGCACACCCCTCACACGCTTCATGGCTGCATCGTGGCCCGCCTGGGCCTCGACTCCTGTCGACTGTCCAATTGTTTTGCCTCGCGCCGCGGACGACCCGCGCGCGTCGCTGGAATCCTCTCGGAACGACCAGCGCGCCACGCGGGGACTCCCCTGCGCTCTGCTCCATGAGCCGCCCGTTTCCCCCGCGGTGTGCCCAGTGCCGCCTCCCACGCTGTCAGCCGCCGATTGTTGTTTTGCTCCGTGCCGCGGACGACCCGCGCGTTTCGCTGCGACTCCTTCCGAGCGACCGGCGCGCGTCGCGGGGACTCCGCGAAGCGGTCTGCCCAGGGTCGCGCCAGGGCGGAGGGACAAAGAGCGGAGCAAGATCCAGAAAGGAAAGGGGCACGAAACAGCGGCGCCTGGGGCTTGCGCGAAACCAGGAAAACTCCCCGCTCGCCCATGCTGGCCCCCTCCATCAAGTCACCTGACCGCGATGCTCGTAATTGTATATGGATAGGTCCTCCCAGCCCTCTGGGCGTAGGTGGTCTAGTTCGTTTCCTCTTCCAACGCCCTTCTGCCCCCTCGGGGAAGGGTTTACCCCTTCCCAATGCCCCTCCCCTGGACTTGGACGGGGGGTCGCGAGGGGGTGGAGCGTCCGACATGTCCCAAGACGGCTCCAAGAGTGCCCCAGGGAGCCAAAAATGACCTCCAAGATTGCTCTAGATATCCCAAGATGCCTCAAGATGGCTCCCAAGATGCTCCAAGAGGCCCCGAAAACGCTCTAAGACGGCTCCGGGTGGCCACCTAGCCTCCCAAGGAGGCCGCCAAGAGGCCCAAACCTCAGGGTAGTCAAGGTGTTTTGCTTTCTCGCCTTTTCGCTTCCGATGACCTTCCGAGGCCTCAGGATGGCTCCAACATGGCCCAAGACGGCTCCTAGAGGGGCCCCAAAAGCGCCCCAAGAGGCGATTCGTTGGGCTCCTGAGGGGGGCCATCACTGAGGCTCCCCACTTTTTTGATCGATGTCTTGCAAGATAGCTCCAAGAGCGTGTCTAAAGCTTCCAAGAGCGCCCAAAAAAGGGCCCCCAAAGGCGCCCAAGGGGCCTTTAAGAGGCCTCCAAGAGACCCCCCAAGAGGCCTCAAGAGGACTCCCGAGGCGCTCAAAGACTGCCAGGGGCCCACAGAAATGACCACCAGACGCCCCAAAGGACATTCGAGACTCCGAGAGGCATTCAAGAGGTTTCTGGCTTTTTTGTTCGCTCTTTTCCTCCTCCTCCTCCTCCTCCTCCTCCTCGTCCTCGTTTTCCACGTTCTCCTCCTCCGGCCCCACTTTTCCTCCTCTTTGTCCTCTTCCTTGTTGTTTTCCACGTTATCTTCCTCCTCCTCCTCCTCCTCCTCCTCCTTAGTCATCATCCTCTTCCGTTCTACGTTCGACTAACGTACGTGCGATGCATGTTGCGTTCTCGAACGTGCGCAGTGCAGCGAACCAGGTCTGACGAGCAGCAGTCAGAAACAACAATGGCGAATCCGTGACGATGCAACGAATGAGTCGAACATCCAGAATGTGCTGCATGGCCAAGTAACGCAACGATCCCCCGATTCCTCCTCCTCCTCCTCCTCCGAGTATTACTCCTTCTTCCCCCTCTTGGGGTACGAAGGTTTCCTATGTAGGCTTCCCTACGTCGTTGATCATGACAACTCGTTCGGACATCGTCTCTGAATGGGCTGCCCTTCTGCTTCTCCTCGTCCCCACCCGCCCAAATTACCCCACTGCATGCTCCTCCACATCCCTAATCAACGCAACTCGCCTGGGCGTCGTATCTGGATGGGCTGGTGGGATTATTTTTTGGTTCGCGGGCGCGCGAAGCGGGTCGGACGCCGGGCAGGCATGGACAGGCTGTGCCTCCTGCAAAGGGAAAAACATAGCAGCGAACGACGCCCGGTGAGGAGCGAGACTCAGCGCGGCCAATATGGCGCGAACTGGTGAAGCGGCACCAAGAACACGATGTAAGTGCTGGAAGCCGAGCAGTGAACACGGCGAAGATGTAGTGAAGCCTGCGCAGCACAGAATGGTGGAACGCCGAGCGTACTAGGGCGGGCCGCGCCAGTAGGGAAGTCAAAAGCAGCGCAGACAGCAGCACGCGGAAGGAGGTACCGCAGTACCACCCAGCCAGCGGGCGACTACGAAAGTGCGTACCGAAGGCGACGAGCACGAAGCTCGGCAGCATGCATGTCGAACAGGAAGCACTTGCAGTGCCCCGAGAGCGCGGAGAGAGAACGACGAAGAGAAACA